GAGCAGGCCCTGGCGGTACGTGGTTATGGAGCTGGGGTTGGAAAGGCCAGGGCTGTAGCTCCTGGGCCTGCAGCATTGACCACCCTGTGGTGTGTGAGCCCCCTCCTTGCTCAGAGCTGAGTCCCTTGGACATCCCAGCCTCACTGCTCCCTGCAGCCGTGCCGCCCTCCCCGAGGCTGCTGCTGGCTCCTTGGGGAGGGGCTGTGGTGGGGCACAGCGCGACACTGTGGAGGCTTGTCTGGCAGCCCGTGTTGTGTTGGAGCAGCCTGCCCGGCAAGGCCGGCGGTGCCGGTGGTTCCCGGCAGCCCCTCTCCGCTGTGTGTTGTGCTGTGTTCCCCCCTGTGCCAAGGCTGCTCCCTGCCATTATGCCGGGTCTCCCTGGAGCAGCAGCATGTGCCAGGGCAAGTGCCTGCCCGTACGTGGAGCTCGGGCAGAGTAGCTCCCTCCAGCTTGGCTTTATTTAACCCAGGCCTGGTTTGAGCGGCACCAGGGCAGGTGCGTGGCCCTTGGCATGGCTCAGCTCTGCTGGCAGGGGCCCTGGGAGCCAGGCTGCATCGCTGTAGGACAGGCGGGCTGTTTGCCACTCCCAGGGCAGTGACAGGAGCGGTTCCTGTGTGCCGAGTCCCTGCCTCTGGGCAGTGAACGGGGGGGTCTTGGTGCCAATGCTGTGAGGCTGAGGGCCTCCTGCCTCCTCTCCCAGCCTGCTGCTGCTTCACTCTGTGTTTTCCTTGCCAGGTCTCGTTATCCCACACATCCTGCAAGTCGCAATCTTGTGGGGGTGGCTCCCACTCCTCTTCCTCCTCCGCCTCCTCTTCTTCCTCCTCGTGCCATGGGAACTCAGGGGACTGGGACCCGAGCTCTTTCTTGTCTGCTCACAAGCTCTCGGGCCTCTGGAACTCGCAGCACACCAACGGGGCCGCACAGGGCAGCCCCCTCGGGGCCCCCCCTGCTGCACTAGGTGAGTCGAAGCCGGCTGTGGGGTTGAGCAGAGCTTTCTGCCCAGTCCTTGGCTTAGGCAGTTTCCTTGTGGTCAGAGGTGGGCAGGCTGGGCCAGCAGGGTGCCTGGGTCTCTGCAAAGGCAGAGGGTGCTGGGAGCCAGCTCTAGCTCCGCTTTCCTTCCAGGTGACAAGCATCCCGGCCTCGCTCTCTCTCCAGAGTGCGCCAACCAGACGCCTGCCATGGCGCCGAGGCTCAAGGCCTGTCCCTACAGCCACACGGCCTCCCCCACCTCCAGCAGTGCCGCCCCGGGCTCGCCTCTGCCTACCTCACTCGACTTCTGCAAGACGCTGCCGAAGCAGTTCAAAAGCATGTGCCGGAGGGCCACCCCGCCAGGTGCGTGCCGCCCTCGGCTCCCAGCCCGCTGCTCCGCACAGCCCTCGCTGCCCTGGCGCCTTCCCCTTGCTCTGCTGTCTGTGAGGCAGGGCAAATCCTGCCGGGGAGGGAGACGTGGTGCTGTGGAGGCCCCTTGGGAGCAGGGATGGCTTCTAGCCTAAGCACGCTGCTGCTGCTGGGGGACAGGAAGGGTTTTTCCTGTGGAGAAGTGGCCCGTGCAGAGGTGGTGGGTTGCTCCGAGGCTGGCTCTGGCCCCTGTGGGACTGACTGTGTCTGACAATCTCTGCTCCTGCCCCTCTGCAGGTGAGGCCTTCCACTCCTCAGAGCATCATCAGCACTCGGACCTCACTGCTCCTCCCAACAGTCCTACCGGCCTCCCCTCCCAGCCACCAGCGCTGATCCCCTCCAAGCAGACGCCTGCCCATCCGGGGCCCTTTGGCTCCCCACCCCACGTCCCACTGGGCACCTCCACGCAGGCTGCGCTCTTTCCCGCACCCAGCGCACAGGCAGCAGCCCCGAAACCAGTGTCGGAGTCTCCTCCTTCTGGCATGGTCTCACACAGCCCGGGGTCGTGTAAGAGCCCTCACCTGCCCCCTGCTAACGTGCCGCTGCTGAAGATGCCTCCTCCGCTGGCAGGCTGCACTCATCCCTGCAACGGGCACTGCAGTACTTCGCTCATCCCTCCTCCTGCCTCCCACCAGCTACCCAGCACCAACAGGTGAGTAGAGGAGCCCTGCCTGCTTCCAGCCTCTCTCCTCGCTGGGCAACGTGCCCTTCATCCCACCCCTGCCCGCGGATGCGCTTTCCCCCTGTGGAGGGACCACCCGCCCTGGCGTGGTGGTGCAGGGAGCTGCTGTGTTTGCGGGCCAGTTCCACTGCTGCAGGCCCCTGGTCTCTGAAGGTTGAGCTCTTTCTCTCTCCACGTGTCTTCTCCTTGCGGTTGTCCTTTAGTACTGTGGTGCAGAAGAGACTGTGCTTGCTCCTTCTCCAGCTAAAAGACCCAAAGGAACCGCCCGGTCAACATGCTGTTGGCCAACAGGACCTTTGTCAGTGAGACCCGTCGGGCAGCTGTGGCACTGAGCAAAGGTCCTCGAGAAGATGAAGCCTGTGGACTTGTGGTTCTGCTCGCCTGCTCCCCTGGCCCTCTCTGGGCTCCCTGTGCCCTAGAAGAGAGCACGCTGAGTCGCGGGCGCTGGTTCCTCTCCGCTGATAAGCGCTCACTGTGGAGGGCCAGCCAGGTCCTGAGCTGGAGCTTGAGGAATGGCGCTGTGGGCCGTGCCCTGTCCTCCCTGTCTCTGAGCTGGGTGGTCTGTGCCGGTGGGAGCCGGCCTGCCTGCACGTGGGGATGTCTGGCAGCTGCATGCAGTTCCAGCGTTTCTCACCTGTGCTACCTGCCGCCCCCAGTGAGTACCGCTCCCTGTCCTGGAATCAGCTTGTGGCCTGGCAGGGGGACACTGCTTTCTGGAGCTCTGGTGCCCCAGCCTCCTGCCTGCCAGAGGCCCTGGGGGGCGAGGAGCTACAGATGTCTTCTGCCGTGGGCTCCTCTGGCATCTCGCCTGGAGGAGGAGGATGCAGGGGAGGGGGTTTGTCTGCCCTGCAAATCGTTCTGCTTGGGCACAGGCTGCCCTGGGAGGGGTGTTCCTACACGCATAGTGTGGGGTGGTTTTGAGACCCTCCACAGCCACCGCTCACCTCTTGCCCTTCTCCCCTTTTCCTCAGGGACCCCTCTTG